GTAAAACCCAAGCAGCCCAATAATATGGAAATGAGACAAAGACCAAGAGTTTTTTAACTATTTGTTCACCTAAGTCACCCACTGACCTGGTGGAGCTACTCCCACTCCCACTTGCTGGACCAAAAACATTAAGCCTCAAAGAATGAGAATATACATAAAACGAATGACACACCAAAACCCACAATGAAGTGTACCAGCTAGACACCCCAATAAATATATATGGGCAAGGAAATTAGGGTTGGTTTGAAGAGAGGAAAAGGGGAAAGATAGTTTGCTTACCAGTAGTGACCCTCTTTTTCTGGCCACCAGAGATTCCTCTCTGCATTTCATCTCCAACTATAGTGTCTCTACATATATCCAGGCCAAGAATCTGTTTCATAGTTAAATTGTAGCAAAATTTTAGTTAATATCACTTGTATTTTTTGAATCTAGGAGTTGGATTTCGAAAGAAACCTTCATTTCATTCTCAAATTAAGACATCAATTAAAACTTAGATAATCACTCAAGTTACAAAGACAGCATAACTTACTCTTAGTGTGTAGTCAGTTTGAAGTGAACTCTGAACTCCTTTCATAGCGGTTGCCTAAAAAAAGAAAGCGATGTGAGACCAACTCGCCCTGAGTATTTAATTTAATAAAATAATCTTATTTGTTTGATAACAAACAGGACCTGGCACTTACCTTCATAAAAAGATCGACTTCAGCTTCAGGGAAAATCCCGGCATCCTTTTCTCTCCTCGCAAGTTCAGATAGAAGCTCTGTAAAAATAATAATAAATTAAAAAAAATAAACAAAACTCGATGGAAGCAAATTATCTTTTTCTTCTTCTTTCAATCTGATCAATTTTGAGCAAATGCCCAAAGCACTAGGAAGTAATTCTAGAGAACCAACTCGCTCTATATAAAACTTCAACTAATGAATTGTGCAACAAAATAGTGAAAATCAGTATGCTATCAAGCATAATTATGCAATAAGGAACAAAAGAATGGCACAATTTATTCAAAAACCTACACTAAATACAGGAATGAACTTACCATATCTAGTTCCAACCCCTTGACACCTTGCAGAGAAATCGAGAGTTTCTTTAACAGTCATCTCTCCAATGTGTACATCATGCTGGCTAATGTAAGCTGAAGTCTTCTGAGGAACAAACTCATTCAATCGGTGGCCGTTGTATGTGACTTCTCCCTTCGACTGATAAGAATACAAAGCTTTGAGTTAAAAATGAGAAATCCATGGTTTGCTGAGACCCTACAGGGTGCATCAATTTGTCAAAAAGAAAACGTTGCATCCCAAGTTTGACTCCTCCCACTGATCTACCCAAAAGAAAATACATGGATAACTAAATTTAACCACACCCACAAAAAGTGTACTGTGATTTCAATTTAAAAGCTCTTCAAAAATGAGACACCGCGGTAGCGGAACTATTAAAACATAACAGAAACCATGCCATCAATCTAATACAATCCCATCGAAAAAATGATAACTCATGAAATCAGTAAAGTGATATGAACTTTCAGCTACGAAAATTTGAGAGGATATAGTCATCATGTAACAACATTTAAAGTTGAATAAATTTTAAAAACCACAAATACAACAAAAATTGTTAACCAGCTGACCTTCAAGCTTGGGTCTAATTTTCCAGCAAGAGCCAGCAAAAGGGTTGTCTTCCCTGAAGATGGAGGCCCCAACAAAAGTGTCATCCTGCGCAAAAATTGAATCAGCGATCCAAACTCACATGGGGATCCATAGAATTTTTGTAAGTAAATTTCAGCATTTTTCATTTTCTTTTTTGGCCTTTCCACGAAAGTTACCTCGAAGGTTTTATGATCCCTGACGCATCTTTTAAAATGGTGAGGGTGGTTGTCTTTGTAAGCTTGATTCCTGCTAATCCAAGAGCCGATTCCGCAAGGTTTCTTGATGCGTTCAATAGTGTAGGGAGGGCTCTGCTCCCTACATGGCATTCTGCTTGCACTGTCAAGTGCTCAAATCGAATCTCCACAGTAGGGAGCCTGATTCCAACTCTGAAAACTCATATAATTGATGGAAAATCAGGGTCTGAATATCAAGAAAAAAAAAGTAGAAATGTGATTTTAAAAGGGAAAAATGCCAAAAAGGAAAAGAAATGAAAACGGATTTTTTTCTTTCCATATGCCCCCAATTTATGTAAGATAATTCAAAATAAAAGAATGCCAATTTATGGAAGATAACTCATAAGAAGAGAAGAATAAGGGAAAAAAAGTTCATATAGAAAACGTATAAATTTCTGTTATCCAGGAAAAAATAGAAAAAAATAGGGGGCAAAAACCTAAATACTTCTTATTAGCAAAAAAAACGAACCATGATTAAATTGACAAAAATAATATTTTTACTTTCATTCGAAAAAAAATAACTCAGAAATTCAAAAGTAATGCTTGAAACTGAAAGCAGGAGTTATAATTTTGCTGGAAGATTATTGACTTACTTGTCGATCCTATTCCTGAGCTTCCTCAAGAACTTCTCGTTATCTTCCTCTGCAATTCTGAACAATCTCTCTATGAACTCTTGTCTCTGGTTTATATCAAGCTTTCTCACATCGACTTCCTGGTGTTGAACCAGTCTCTCTTCCTCTGTATACGACTTCAGTATACTGGTTCTCAACCGATCATAGGTCGGGAGCTTCTCAAGAGCTGCCCATTTCAGGGCTTCCTCATCTTCGTCAGCTCTCCTGCTATGTCCGGACCTTGCAAAGACGTCCTCCACTCCCCAGTTGGTCCTTCTGCTCATGTTCCGACTCATGTTTCTACTCATGTTTCTACTCATGTTGCGGCTCATTCTTCTACCAGAGCCCCAAACCTTGTCGAACTTCTCCATTTTTGGCCTGAAAGAAAACTAAGGATAGGGCTCAGGTTGGAGTTTCGGTATCGAAAATGGAGGTTTACGGGACTGGTAATGGAGCTGTTTCTCTAGGATTTAGGGATTGAACTCTTTATATTCAGGGGAACTGAGGTGGGAATGAGTTTTTACTTACAGCAAATTGTTGGAATGAAGTTTCTTTCGGCGATGCCCTGTTCCTCTCTGGCTCAATTGTCCACAAACTCCTTTTTATCCTGAGATAGAGTTTCTCTGAATGAACGAACTCAGTAACCTCTGCTAAAAATTTAAATACCTCAAATTCGTTGAATGAAAAACTTTTCCCTGAAAATTTACACAGTCACTTCCTTCGAAGTAAAATTTTCTTCCATAAATCAACTAAGTCACAGGCGAATGCTCTCTCAAACTTGCTTCTCTTGCCTTTTTTTCACCGGAAAAGGAATTATCCCGGCGACTTTCTTCCTTATCCGGCATAAATCGTGAGCAACTCCCCCTACAACCTGTGAGAGTAAAATCTCAATACTTATAGTAAAAAAAGGGTCATTCAAAATCTTGATCTTTTGTGCCGAATTTCTCCGCAACTTTCTCTTTGAACTGGATTTTCAAGGTTTGAAAGCGGCGTTCTCTGCAGGCTGAAAATCCAGAGAGAGAGAGAGTAAGAATGGGTCTTGGAACTGATTCAACGATGAATATATAAATACATATTATTCAGAGTGTTCAGAGCGAAGGCGTCGAGAAGGAGAGCTGGTAGAGAGAGAAAACTTCTCCCCCCTGTTCAAATGCGGTTGGTAGTGAGAGAAACGTAGAGAGAGAAAACATGTCTCGCATTAAATTACAATTGGTCGTGTCAGAAGATGAGAGAGAAATATAAAACGTCCATTTTGTTTGAAACTGATGGAGGCTTTTAGAGAGAGAAAGGAGGGTCTTGTGTCGATTCTGGCGGCTTTCTGCTTAAAAACTTAGAGAGAGAAAGTGGGTGAGGAGAAATTAATTTAGTGAGAGAAAGTGTAGAGAGAGAATGAGTGAAGTGAGGGCATTCGGATAAAGTTTTTAGAGAGAGAAAGGGGCAGTCGTAATAGAGAGAGAGAAGGAGGTTTTAGAGAGAGAGAATACGGAACTCGTGTTAAAATTTTTTTGGCAGCCATCCTTGACTCCGCACGCCGCCGATACGCGATGGTCAGGAGTCAAACCGGTAACCAATAATACAACATGACAGAATTACCCTCGCTAAACTTCTTTAATTACGAGGATCACCTTGTCTCTCACCAAATGATTTCCACAGTTAATATGTATTTTAAAAAACAAAAAACATCAATAAATAAGGGTGTGGTTTGTATAATAAGGCTGCAACCTTAAACAATCCAATTAAGGCGTACTTCCGAAATTTATCGTATCATGTAATATTGGTGTAAAATGTTTTTAGGAGTATCTTAAGATCTATTTTCACAACTAATTATTAATTTTTAAATTTTAAAAATAATTAAAATTAAGTGGATCTATAAATATATGAAAATCTTGAAAATGGACGGTCTAGATAATGCGTTGCACTTGGACTTAAAAGTTTTTTTTTTTTTTTTATATTTATCCATCTCGATGTCGAGATGATCAATTAGTGGGATTTTCAACATTAAAACAACTTTTTCCGATGGATTTTTGAGGTGCATCTTTAATTCTACATTTTATGGTTGCAACCTTGTTTAAACTTTTCTGTTTGCTAAATTATCTTGGTTGTTTTTTACAAATAATAATCTCTATTTCAAAATTTGATATGAGATTTATAAAGCAGTTTTTAATTCAAAAACTCAAGCTAGCCAAGATCTCACTTAGAGTAACGTAGACTTGCCACCCTAGTGAAGCCGAGTATATTTGACTTGGGTCGCCAATTGGGGGACCTTAAAAAACAAATTCAAAAAAATAATAAAAATATAAATTTATTTATAACAATTTTTTTATATTTTCTATCATTTAGACAAAGATTGGAAAGTGTTTTCCTCATAAATATTTATTTTTATAGTTTTTTCCTTCTTTTTAGATTATTTCTAGAATACTTTTGCATTATTCTTTTCTTTTTGAAATTATTTCCAAAATATCCGATAACAATTTGATTATTCACAATCCATTTTTCACTATTTTTTTAACCTCATTTAAGTATTTTTTTCTTTAATTTAACTATAAACAAATTTTTCTTTCTTTTTTGGGAATTTTTTTTGTTTTTTATATATTTTTTAATTCTTTTTGACTCGGCCAGTACCTGCCTGAATCGGTTGGAGTAATTCGCAACCCCGATTCGTGGTTTCGAGCTTTCGTTTTCCATTAACAATTTTAAAGTACTTAATATTGAAATTTTGTACTTTATATAACCTTTCCCGGAAGGGTCGGCTCGCTCTCTGGCGGGCGAAACGTTCAAAGGGCCCGTTCTACGCCTCCACCAACCCCTCATGTATTTCTGTTATTTTTTTAATGTCATTTTTCTTTAACGTTATCACTTTGATTATCTCCACATATCTATAAACTCAACTCTGGGTAATTTGATTTGTGAGAAAAATAAATAGGAACTGAATTACCTCCCACTTATTTTATTGCATATACATATTTTTTTATTATCCCCATTCTAAATCAAGGATCGGATAATAATTAATGATTCAAAAAATCGCCTGACGAGAAGTGGCTGGGTCGAGCGTTTATTAAGACTTGAGATTCTAAGTTGAGAACTTGGGAATCGCCCGAGCCTGCCGATATTCTGATTTCTAGAATATATTTGTTTGGTGCAAACTTGTCTGGAACTACTAGGGAGAATCGGGATCTGAGTTAGAGCCCGATTCTAATTTTTGAATTATAGATTATAAATTTTGATTTTTTCTTACCCATCGTAAGAAACAATTTTTTCGAGACCATATTTGGTGAGCACCATTAGAACCAAGTGTTGAAATAGCAATAGGTACCAAAAAGAATGTGTCAAAATTCAAATAAAAAACCTTGCCACCTAACAAAGCACCATCACTAAGTTTATTGAATAAGGGCGCCTCCCACCCACTTCTCCACAAAATAATGGAATTAGAATTAAATATCTTTGGAGAAACACTAGTTTTATTTTAATTTTTCATAAAATATATCTAGACTTTCTTGTGATTGATTTAGATTACTTTATTTTATTTTTGCCCAAATAATATAAAGTGTGTAGTTTGCATAGAGCCGAGGCTCTAAACCATCAAAGTAAAGCGCACTTTCAAATAGCATCGAGAAATGTGGTTTCAATACTGAAAATCTTTGTGATAGCCTTAAAATATATTTTCTTCTTTAATTATAAAATTTAAAGTTTCAAAAATAGTGTAAATCGAGCATATCTATGAAAACTTGAAAATCTTGAAAATTGACGGTTAAAAAATGTGTTACAAGATGCACTATTTTCAAAACATGAAATCTATTTTTTTCTCATGTCTATGCATCTTGATGTCAAGATGATTAATTTGAGAATATTTGAGCATCAAAACAACCTCTTCTAACGAAGCTTTTGAGGTGGGCTTTTAATTTGATTGTTTACAGCCTTGGCTCTATATAAACTTTTCCTAATGAAAAACATATACTTTTGTTGGGGACCACATCAAGTAGAGTCCGGCGATTGAGTTTTTACAATCATAAGAAGCATGATTTTACTAATTTATTACTTCATTATTCTTAATCCATCGTTAGTCACTGTTGATCGCTTGATTTAGGTAAAACTCCTGGTTAACTAATTATTATTTGGCTAGTTATTAATGCTCGTTTTTGTTTTTATGTTGGGATGATTACCCCAACTACCAAATAAGACTATTATATAGAATGAGGGTTGTATAAGGCTGAGGCATTAAACAATCAAAGTAAGGCGCACCTTCAAATGGTATCGAAAGTATTGTTTCAATACTGGGAAATCTTTGTGATGGTTTGAAAATTTATTTTCATCTCTAGTTATAAATTTTAAAACATCAAAAATAGTGTAGATCAAGTAGATCTATGAACACTTGAAAAACTTAAAAATTGACGGTCAAAAAATGTATTTCAAGATGTTCTATTTCTAAAATTTGAAATCTATTTTTTCTCATGTCAATACATCTTGAGTCGAGATGATCAATTTCAGGATTTTTGAGCATCAAAACATAGTGAATTTTTGAGGTGTGCCTTGGTTTGATTGTTTAAGGCCTTGCCTTATATAAACCTTTTCCTTATTTTATTGCACATGGTTGAAGACATTCTAAAGTTGACTTACCGGAATTAAAGGTATTTGAGAAGGGTAAAATCACATAAATCATTTCTTAGCTTCCCTATTTAGGCCTCCATCGACTTGTACTTCTGTTGAATTTTTGTGTTGAATTTTTTAAAATTGTGTTCCTACTATCTCTAAGGTCGTGTTTGACAACAGAGATAGAGAGTGAAAGGGAGCCTCCTACAAATTATGAAAGTGTTTCATCATTTTTTATAGAAGGACCGTGCTCAAAAAAACATATCACTTTAACGGTAAAAAAAAGGGCAAAGGCTTCTATACTTCCCCTACAACAGAGAAAATCTATGTTTTTTCTACTATCCAATCGTACAATTTTGATCAAGAGAGCCACTCACTTTTTGATCTTAGATCTGATGTCTCAAATTATTTTATTTTTAATTTTTTTTATACAAATTGTATGAATATGAAATTTGGTACGTTCCATCTTCTCATTGGATCGCACTTATAAAAACTATTGAAAATAATTTTTTGATAAAATACAATGACCAAATACCTCTTGAAACTTTTAAAGGTAATTTGGTCATTTTATTTTATTAAAAATTTATTTCACTAGTACGAGTTTAATAGAGGATTGAACATTCAGAATTTGATGTCAAAATAGTTTATAGAAAAAAATTAAAAATAAAATAGTGTAAAGACAATGATACTGTGATTGAAACAATCTTAACCCTCCATTCAAAATGGATGGTTGGATAAAGAGAAGTATATAAGTTTTATGTTATAGAAAAAACATATAAAGCTTGCCTAAAAAAATACTATATAAAAGGCTATACTTTTACTTCTACACAGCGAAATCAAACTTGAAAGTGGCACGCTCAACTCTCACTTTAAAAAACTTCCCTGAAATCAAGTACACCCTAAATTAAATGCCAAAAAACTAGATAGTAAATGATCCAGTATTGGCAACACTGGCAATCGGACTCAAGATTGAGTTGGAGTCCAGTTTTCGGGAAGCCTAATAAACTTATAAAACTAGAAAAATCAAGTTTATAGGCAAAGAAAGTAAGGTTAAGGTGGATCTGTTTGTGTGAGTCTACCCTTCCAAAACACTGGAGATAGATTTTAGATCCCTAGATTTGCAACTCTATCATCATCTCAATTCTCTCTCTCTATATATATATAAATAATTTATTTTTTTTGGATATTTTATTTCTTCAAAGATCACCAGATCTGCACTGTTTATGTATCTCCAAATTTTCAAAACAATTGACGAGGGAATAATTTATAGTGATTTGAGATGCGTTTTGAGTCCTTTTTTTAAAAAAATTAATTTAGGTAACTTTAGTGGTAGGGATCAAACTTGCAATGTAGGAATATGTTTTAAGTCCTAGATTCCAACCTTTTTTTTTTTTTTGTTTCGGTAATTCAATAGGGAAAACAAGATCCTGCTTAGTAATTTTTAGATAAATTAAAGAATTAAATTTTTTTAAAATATCAATAGATGTCAATCGAATAGAAAACCACAATGCGGTGACTAGACAGGAGGTGTTACCACGATGACCTAGTCCCTTTTCTTGAGTCAACCAATTCACCAAGCACTTCTCTTGTGGTTT